TTTTCTCTTCCGTTAAATGTGTTTATTGATATACAGCATTTAACATTTTGCACATTATCTATGACAGCAAATCGGGCTCAAACCGATAGCATGTAGCAGTATCACGTTCTCTGGCCAATCTTCCAGCTCTCTACCCTCCGGTTTTTACTGCTCCTCAACGGCGTTTGCTGGATTTATGATGAGCTGTCAACACTGTCGCTATGTGCAGCATTCATCACGTGGCCGTCAGTTGCATGTCCAAGGCGTCGGATGGCTGTCATAAAGGATGCTCATCAACAGTTCAGGCGCAAGCTGTCAGTTAACTGGCTGTAAAGCGCTTATGGACTGCATAAGAAAGCTGAGATGAAGTTGAAGCTGATGCTGATGGTAATGATGAAGCTGACTCAAGTTAAAGGCAAGCCTAGATATATGCCACGCTGCAGTGGTTTCTTTTAATTGCGCGACTTATAGTGGCTTGCAGTGCAAGAGCTGAAAATTTACAGGCTGTCTTGTCTGTTGAGGGCGTGGTCGTCTTGTTTTGCATTTACAAATTGAAAATATCCTGGCCAAGAGGCATCGCCGTACTCGCCGCTGCCTGCCAAGTGACGTCTACGACGTTGGCGCCGCATTTAGTTGCAACATTTTATTGGTGACTTTTTGGCAGAGCTTAACATTTCTTGTTGCTGTTGTTGCTATTTTTACTGGCGTTGTTGTGCCACTGGCTGGTGTACTCGTAAATGTCAAGCCATGTATTTGCATTTCAATTTCCATTACAATATACAATTTGGAGCAACAGCACAGCGATAGACGCCCACCTAAAATGCTCTCTGCCTCCGCTTCGCTGCTGTTTGGCCGCGATTAGCGCGCTATAAATCTACAAATTTTGCTGCATTTTAGCAATGTTTTTTTGGTTCGCCCTACCAGCCAATATTCTCCGTTTCCCGCATGGCTGCTGCGAATGTCGCCAAATGGACCATAAACCAAATCATTCAGCATAGCCACGCCCCATTGAGAGCCGTAAAACAAACAACAACCCCGATCAAAATACACACTCCAAAATATGCAACTCATTTTGCTAAAGTTTGGCTAGCGCTGCTCGCCATTTGCATTATTTGTTGCTCGATTTAATTATACGACCAGCTTTTGGATTTGTCATGGAATATATTAAAACTAAAATATAACCCTGTCTGAAGCCCACCGCCCTTTCTAGCTTCTAATCAATAGAAACACAGATCAACATAAATATAATATATCTAAGCATTCAGATGCTACCAATTGCTTATCATCCCTGCTCATCAGCTTGATATAAATTTATTTATCAATAGTTTATTTTCGAAATATGATAGTTTTTGTTTGTTAACCGAACCAAAGGAAACAGCGATTGGTTCGTACATTGGAATTTATTTTTCTCTTAAAAATAAGTAAATAAAGTAAAGTTTAAACTCAAACTTAAGTACGATTAAGTATTTCTTTGTTAAGTGGACTCGAACACAAACAGTTTGCAGTTGTGCTTATCTTAATTATTTACAAAAAAGTTAAGCTCGTATTGTATCGTTATAAGCTTAAGCTCGTATCGTAAAATTGGTATTTTAGTATTAATTAAACTTTAAAACATTAAGCTTAAGAACGAATAAAATATTTAATAGGCAATATGAGTTTGTTACTTTTAATGACTTAAGCACAAAATAAAGAAACCAAATACCAAAAAGACAAACTTTTGAATTAAAGTCAACACAACGCCTCGTTCAATCGAGGCCAATTGAACTGCTAACGAAATATGTTGTTCATAGATACTTAACTCAAAAGCCCTCTCTGAGAGGCCTATTGCGGCCAGCTACATTGCTGTTTGCCAGAGCCACCCTGGATCCGAGTTTCCGCTGTGTCAGCAAAGTTTACAAAATTCACGGCGTGTCGTTTAGGGCTTAAGGTTGGGCAGAATTCTTGTGGCACTTGTTCTTTAATCCCTGTGTGAGAGAATAGCACCAGCGCGGCAACATTTTGCGTTTTCATCGTGCGTTACGCATACGCCGTGTGTGTGCGTCTGCATGTGCGTGTGTTTGTGGGTGGGTGCCAATTGCAAGTTGAGAATGACTCCACAGTAATAAGGAGACGGGGAATGGGAAATTGGCAGAGAGGCTGCGTCTTGGCTGCATCCAATGGATCGTAAATATTAAGCGATAGGAACTTTGTTCTTGTTACTGTTTTTGTGGTTGTTGTTGTTGTTAGCACACCTGCAGTGTCTATACCTGATATGTGTGCACCTTGGCCTGCACTCTGTGTGGCTTCTCTGTCTGTGTAGAATCTGGAGCAACAGCAGCAGCAGCAGGAGCTAATTAAGACAAACTAACCCGATGTGCGTGTGTTTGCATTGGCTCTGCTTTGGTCTTCTGGTCTGGTTTTGGACTGTGGGGTCTTCAGCGCCAACTGGCTGTGTCCTTGGGTGCTGTGTGGTGCAAGTGGCTGCTGCGGTACTCAAGGGCGACCCCACGTTCCCAACTGTGTGCGAGTGTTTTGACATACGGCTTTGTTACAATCACAATGTGTTTACATGGAGCACAACAGCACAGCGCCGTGTGTGTGAGACCCGTGAGCCAAGTGCACTTAATTTGTTTGCTTAATTTACAAAACATGAGACGGCGATGGTGATGACGATGGTGATGGCGATGGCGAGGGCGATGCTGTATGTTGAGGCGACGCCACTGGCAATGCCTGTTTCGGATACAAAATATGACTCGGCAACAGCTTGGGCTGTTTTGTGTTAAGACTGTTTTCTCCATGTTTGCTTAGCACTCGCCACTTGCCTCAGCAGATGCCACTGCATGTACTCAGAAGCAAGTGCGTGCTATGACAACAGGACCAACTCTACGTTTCGGCATGCTAAAGTAGCTGCGTGTGTGTGCTTTCCGCTAGCTTATTTCTAAAATTATAGAATTGTTGAATAATCAAAACTGAAATTTGGAAGTGCAATTGTAGCTGGGCAAGAATAAACTGGGGAGAATGAACGCGTTAGCTATATTTTATTGACAGTATTGTGCTCTTAGTCTACACATTATAGTAATTTTAGTGTGGCTTTTGGTATGTGACTCAAGGGCTTCGCCAGTATCCCAATAAGGAATAATAACAATAATCAGCGACAGGAAATGTTTAGATACGGATGCTAATTACAATGTTTTGCCCATTAGCCATTGCCCAATAAAACTCACTTTGATCATTTAATTTTATTTCTTTATTTCATCATATAATTTTGCCATTATCGTTTATAATTTTGAGCTAAGTTCCTTACGCTTTGGCGTTTTCGTTTGTTTCTTTTTTTTTTTGTCTTCTATGGCGTGCTTTGATTTTGATTCAAAAGTTTTTGTTTTTTGGCTTTTCTTACCACTCATAAATTATTTGTATAATTATAATTATGCATATTTATAATATATTTTTTTTTTACTTTTTTCGTTTTTTTCATATTTTTTTGCATCTGCTTTATTTTACCTTTACGTTTCAGTATTTTTTTCTTTTCCTGTAGTTTAGTTTAATTTTACATTTTATTATTAGTTTTGGATTTGTCTGTGTCTGCAAGACGCATTTTTTACATTTGATTTCATTGTTTGATTTACAATTGGTTTAGCTTGCTTTTGATTTGATTCATATTTAGTTTTTAAGTAATCTGCCTATATCTAAAAGAGGTTCATGTTTTGCAGAGTTCAAAGCTGCTAAAAAAGTATATTCTGAACATTTAATCAAATGCAGAAACTCTCCTTTTTTCTAAAACTATCATTTGCATTTACAAATGTTTTTTACGAAGTTTTTGTCCTTCACATTATCATCAATAGTTAATCTTAGGTCTAGATTTTGCTCTGGCTTTAATTGTATGTGTGTTTTTTTTATTGGTTTATTATTCAACTAACATTTAATCACTAATTAATTTTACTTCGACATTTATTTTAAACATGTTTTATATAAATATATTTAAGTGTAGCCTTAAATGAAGTTAATCTTACGCAGCTAACATAACAAATGCAACAAATGCAGAACAAAAACACCGCAAATAAACCACAATGCAAAAATTCAATTAAAATAGTTTTACTTCCATTAATTTTATTCATTGGCATCATTTGCGCTTTATTATTCTTTTTTATTATGTCATAATTAGGCTTTCATTTTAACATTAATTATGAATTTTATTATTATCTTTTTTTATTATACGTGTATCTATTTTTTGTTGATTACATCTTGCTTATGCTTTTTATTTTGTCTTGTTTTTTTTTTCGTGTGTGTATATTATTTTTTTTACAAATAATATTTACATGGCTTACGTGTCTAGGCTGCGGTTGTTGGAGGGTAGGGTGTACTTAATGTATAATTATTTTTGCCTTATGTTATTAATTATTTTTCTTTGTTTTCCATATATTGAATTTAGGTTTCAAACATGTTTTTTGCAAGTGCATGTTTTTGTTTATTTTAGTTTATTGATTTTTTTTCCGTTGTGTATTTGTGTTTTCTTTGAAGAGTTCGACATCACACCACGCCCACAACATGCCGTTACGCCTGTAAGTATGCATTGAGTATTTTTTATTTGATTTATTAATTATTTAAACATTTTTGCTCTCTGAACTGCAGTGTGTGTGTCTGAGCGCAATAAATTAACCACCGGAATTTTGTAATCACCTCTTTTTTCTATATCAAATTCAGCTCAGATTTTTATAAATTTTCAATAGTTAGTTGAAAATAATTTCGTTTTTGTCATAATCCGAACATTCTCTCTAGCGACAGCGTGGAAAATATAATTGTAAATGCACGTCTGTGGTGTCGTTTTATTTGTTAAGCGCACAATAACAACATAAATTAAAAGAGTTACCCACAAGGACATGGCGCTTCGCGTTCAGAACGTAAGCCCGTTAACGTTTTCAAAACATTCTTTTTTCTTCTTTTACTTTGTAAATTTATTTATTTATTTTTGTTTATTTTTTTTGTTGTTTTTTTTTTTGTGATGTTGCAATTTGTTTTGTAATTTGCTTTTTATAATTTTCTGCTGCACATTGGTGCATTGTTTGCATTTGTTATTTTTTAATTACACTTACGAGCTGCCCGCTCGGCCATTTGTTGTTGGTATGGTTGTGGCTGTCTGACCGACTGTTCGACCATTTGCTTATGTGGCGTGTCCATTGTGTCCTGGTCACAGCTGAGCCGCCACCAAAGTTGCCACTGCCAGAGTGAGTACGCCAATAGTGCTGCAGCTGCACTGTGCGGCGCCTGTAAGCGCCGAATTGTCCGGATCTCCATTTACATAACGCTTGGAGCCCTCCAGGCCCAGCAAATTGGGTGAAATGGTCGTAGGCGGTGCTGTGCTGAGCCCAATACGCTGCTGCACATTCTTGTGGAACACATGCAGTATGGACACCTCGCAGAGTAGGCTAATGCTGCTCTGGTACTTGGGTATCGCCTGAAAGAAGCCTTGCAGCACCTGGCTGTGCGGGTAGATCTCCAGTGAGGAGTACGTGGTCGAGCCCTCGAATGCGTCCTGTGTGATGCGTTGCAGCGGCGTCTTGTAAACCTGTCACGGCATTAATCAACACCCGGAGTGGTCACAGTTCTTGAATTGCTACCTACCTTACGACCGTTAATGTACCAAGTGATGTTCGCCGGAGGATAAGATGGACCCACCGTGCATACCGCCTTGAAGTTGTCGTTGACACCAATCACCTTCTTGTCCACCTGCATAGCCGGGTCATCCTTGGGCAACTCAATCACCTGCATGTGCGCCGACCGTATATCCGTGTGGAAGAGCGGCGCATCCTCGGACACCTCGCACTGATAGCTGCCAGTCAGATCCCGAGTGACACCTTTCAGTGTGACCGACGTTGCATCCGAATTGGTTAGCTGCAACGAAATTTTGGTTCTTTAATTAAATATTTCAAAATTCAACCGCAACTCATGCTTTAAATTACTTGATTAAATTTGAATTAAAATGCACAAATGGCATTCAAGAGGCCACAATGGAGGACACCATTTGGCATGGCCATTATGACTGTTATACTCTATTTTAAGAGGATATCATAGGTGTAAGGGAAACTTGTGAAACCAAATGCAGAACAACTATCTCTTTACTGTTTGAAAAATTAACCAGCAGCTGTACTCGATAATAAGAGAGAAAAATATTTTAAATATAGATTTTATTAATGTTTTAGTAAGATTTTTTTGTAAGGGTATTCAGTCTTCGTCGCAGCTTTTCCACAATTACAACACGCTGTTGCCGTTTTGCATTTGTATTGGTAATTGGCTGCAAGCGTTGGGCCACTTGGGCCCAACTTGAGCGTAGTATGCTGCTCAAAATCCACTTCAACAAACCAGTGGCAAACAGCAGCAGCAGCATCAGCAGGCGCGATTAACGTGTGTGTTGTTCGCTGCGCTGCGGATTTGAGGACGTTGCATTTAAGTGCAGGCAACCCTTTCACGTTTTGCATTTGCCGCCAAATGCTGCAGATGTTTTTGTTCATTTGCATCTATACTAATCCTGTGCTTTGTTGGCCTGGCTTGTTATTGGCACTGCCAGTTGCCAGTTGCCAGTTGCCAGTTGCTCTCCATTGTGTTGTGCCCCCGGCATTCCCCATCCATTTTTACGATTGTTTCAACACTTTAGCGCATTTCTCTCTTGGCTTTCCACAGAGTTGTCGCTGCCATTGCCGTTGCAACATGCTCATGTGTTGTTTTCTTTTTTCGCTGGTATTCTTTTAGCTACGTATATAATACCGTCGATAAGGACCACAGTAGATGCTAGTGGTATGGCCAATGCCATTGCCATCAAACCGAGAGCTACAGCTGGTTTTGGCGCTAGCGGCTCCTATTTGCCATATTGGGATTGGCCCTTGGCTGGTGGCTGAGAGCCAGGCAACTGGATCCTATGCGCTTCCTTGCGGTCTGTAGTTTTAGTGGCTTTTGGATTTGTCGACGCTGATCTCGTTACGCAATCGAAATATGAAAACAAATGTGTAGCGTATTGATGGGGTTTGCAATATGCATGTGTGCACAGCATGTGTACATGTATTTATTTTCGTACGCATCTATATATGTATGTATGCTTGTGTATGTGTTGCGGCTCGCATACTACATGCTACAATGTGTGAGCGATGAATAAATGTGCGATATGCCACACAATACAGGCTAACAATGGGAGTCCGGATGGACGAGTTATGAGTGCAACAATCTAGTTGACCTGAAACTCAGTTGGATAGATGTAGTTGGAGTTGCCTGTTGCACAACGGGATACCTAGTGATTATTATATTCAACGTGGTAATTTTCTATGTATGTGCAAATGTTGGGACCACCATGAGCTAAATTTCTTTGACTTCCGTATACTCTATTTGAATTGCAAACAAAATACGCAGCTACTGCAAATTGCCGGAGCTCATTTGTAGTTGTATATTGTCACATAATTATGAGGTTTTAATGTTGCCACCATTTGGTTTGCTACAACCCATTCAACGATTTAAATGACGTTAATTATGTAGTCAAACAGACATATGTATACATATATCTATTTATATATAAATATTGTCCCCTGCATTTTATTTATTTAACTGTTTGATGCTGACGTCGCTTCGTTTCTGCTGTTTTTTTCTGCGGTAGGCTGGGCTGGTTGGATGGTTGCCCATCCACTTTCCTCAGGCTTTAATCCGCGTTGTTGTCATATTTATTTAATTGCATGTGACTTTGCTTTTGTTGTTGTGCCGGGCTTCATGGCTGGCGGAAACGGAAGTGGCAGCGCCAGGAAGCGCGCCAAACAAACGCAAATGTCTGCCATTTTGAGGAATTATATGCCCCGTCGAATCACAGTCACACACACACACACACACACACACACACACACACACACACATACACTTACAGATACTCATAAACCTTTTAGTTACTCATATGAATTTGTTGCGACATTTGTAGCTGCTTCGTCCGGCCGTAGGCAACAAAAACGAATCCCAACAAAACTCTAACTCAAATCAACTCAACTCAACTCAGCTTGACTCAACAAAAACTCAAGTTGCTTTTATTGTGCTGGGAAAGTTTTTGTCGGAGCGCTTTTTTCCTGTTTTTATTTATTTGTTGGCTTTTAATTCGTATTTATATTTTAAATTGCTTTAGTTGCCGCATCTGCAACTATGTGGCATAAAAAATTATGCTACTAAAGCGCAATTTAGCATGACAAGCACACACACACATACACACTAGCTGAGCTTACATGCGTATTTGTGTGTGTGTGTGTGTGTGTAGAAGTGAGTGTAAGAGTAAAGTATTGTTTCAATAATTCTGGCTTTATGAAATAATAACTTTACTGCAAAACCGCTTCGCCGGCTGAGCAGCCAACGTCGAGTTGCAAGAACACAATGAATTTTATTGTAATGCCCACTTCTGCTTCTTTCTCTCAGTGCGCGTGTGTGTGTATCTGTGTGTCTGTGTGTGGCCCGTACTTTAACAGTTTTGCAGCTGTAGCCGCGCTTCTCGTTTCTGTTGTTGGCTCCTCGCTGAGTTTCCGCTGTTTGTTGTGCAGCAATTTTAATTTTGCCAACGCTGTCGCATGCATCACACATGCACACAGACGAACACACACAAGCGCACGCACACACAATTACATGTAGTATGTGATGGCATGTGTGTAGCTCAGCTGCAGCCTCGTTTGCATGCAACACTTTATGAATTATTGCTGTATCAACTCAAGTCGCGGTAGTCAGCCAGCCGCACACTCCACACATCTATTCAGACACACACACACAAGCACACTCGCATACACACACACACACACATGGGCACGTATTATGTCATTCCGAATTTCCGTTGCCTCCAGCTTTGTTGCAACTAACGGCGCTAGCGTTGGCGGCCCGTTTTCGCTTCCCTACCCGTCCATATTTGCAGTTGCCATTCCCTCTAACCGTTTCCCATGTCCCTTGCTGCGTTTCCTTCCCCTTCCCCTTCCCCTTCCCATTCCCCTTCCCTACTTCTACTTCACAGTTGCCCGTTGGCATTTCACAACTTCGACTGCCTAACGCGCTGAGCGCAGTACGCAAAGCGCTTGGCAAGGCCAACCACAAATTTAGTGAATGAGATGTTTCCGGTGCGGTTGTTCTTCTTTTTGTGGCTTTTGCTGTTGCTGTTATCCATTGCCCATTTGTTGTTGCTGCGCTGCTGTGAACAATTTTTGGTGTTTGGAAAATGCATGGCTTTTTATTGTGCTCATTGTTGGCGACAGCGGCACACGCCATGCGAAAGCTATGCTAGGGAGTTGTACAGGGATATGGACAGTGCCAGATGGACGGACATGCTACATGTTTGTATGTGCACATACATATACGCTGCACGGTATGTGATTGTCTTGAATGCATTTCGGAATTCGTATTTTTATTTATTATGTTTATATGTTGCCATTTGTCAAACATTTTTGCCGAGGCTGTTAGCGACTGTGGCAGCCACAGCAACAAATGTAGCTGCAGCATGAAAAATGTGGCATGAAACTAGTTATCTCTTTTTCTATAGATTAAAGTCTTTGCATACCTTAAGCAGAACGTTCACATCTAATTTTATGAAAAGCACTTGGCACTAGAAACTTGTTAATTAAATGCAAGCAAAAATTTGAAATATGACAGCTCTTTAAGTGCACTTAAATGAATTATTAGTTGAATTAAATCTATTCAGTTTGAAATGCGAATTCTACTTGCAAGAGGCGATTTAGTTTATATTGTTTTTGAGTTTCAGTCTATTTTTTTTAATGATCAGTCTATTTACAAAAACCCAGATAGATAGTTTGTCTCACATAATAATAAATTCTATGGAAATTTCACATTAACATACATTAAATGTTATTTAGTATATTTTTGTAAATTTTAAGTTTCTATAAAACAGCTTTGGTATTATTTTTTATCTTTCACAATCAGTTGACTATTTCTACTAATTGTATCATTAATACCAAATGCATAAAAAACGACAAACTAATATCGTGGATTGGGGAAATGTGGTTCTGTTTGTCTGAATTTAATGTTTTCAACAATTATAAGACTGCAGCCATTAAAAACACATATTTTGTAGTCTGGCCACGCTCCCACTTGTAGACTTAAAAAACAGTACAATTCTTACGAATTCCTTTTTTTCACAATCTGATAAGAGAAACATTTGGAAAATGTATCACTCCCCACCCAGTGCTCAATTAAACTTTTGCGACTTACAAGGACAGCAGCGACTAGAACAACTACAACGAAACAGCCTTCGCGCTCAGTGTGCATCTAATTAACAACTGTCAGGGCTGTGTGCTTGCCCACAAGGCCAGGCCCCAGAGAAAGCTAGCCAAATTGATCCAGTGGCAGCAGCAACAGCAGCGGGAGGTCAGCCTGGCCCTGGCCGCTGCCAGTCGGGAAGTTTTTGGCCACTTGTGTTGCCGGCAACGTCTTCTGCTCTTTGCAAGTGGGAGAGTGCATTAATTTTAAGGGCACATTGCTGTGCATAAATGCGAAATGGAGGCGGTGATGGAGGCGAAGGAGGAGGCGTGTCGGGTTATTAACAATGTTAAAAGCAAATGCCAGCAACAACAATGCCCGCACACCACAACCGGGAACACTTGGTGTGTGACTGCCGCCGCCATTACCGCAAACTTAATGCGGAATAATTCCTTCCGTGTTGACAGTGTGCAAAAACTTTTCGGGGCACAAATTTTTGGGCCGGTCAACGGCAAGGGTGTGCAAGGGGACTGGATGAGAGTGGTAGAAGGATGGCTAGGCGCTTTGGATTTTTTTTTATTGTTGCGGACAATGAATAAGCTGCAAAAGTTTGGAGCACTTGGTATATCCTATTCCTGTAACTCACTCTTCGCACCCCATCTATATCCTTGTCTGTTTCTCTCTCTGTCTCTCTCTCTCAGCGGGTGACCCTGGTAATTGTGTGTTTTAATTGAAGATTGCCAACGTGGCTGTCTCTAAATTATAAATTTAATTACATTTTACATGATTATTATTTCTCCTTTTTATAACTTTTTTTTGTAGAACGAGAGCTCAGCTTTCGTTTGCGTTGTTGCTGCTGTTGCTGTTTTTGTCGCGAGTGCCATGCGACATGTGCAGTGTGGGAGGGGAGTTACAAGGTAGAACTCTACGTTGAATGAGTTTTGAAGTTTGTAGGCGCGATTCGGGGGCTGCAGTCGTAAGCGGTGGCATCCTGCCTATTTCCATGCCGTAATGTACATACATTTGCATTCCAATAACGCTCAAGTGGACGACAGGAGTGCACTTGGTCGGCTGGCCGTGCCACGCTCACATCCATGCCCACACACACATCCACGCCCTCTTCCACAAGTGCATTGCATGTCAGTCACAGAAGCAGCTGCCATTCAAGTGTTGTCGTGAGAGCGAGGGCGAGTGCGAGTCTGAATACAGGCCCATCTTTTTATATAGTCAGCTCACAAACACACACACACACACACACACACACACACACATACACACACCTACACGCGTACACTAATATTAATGCATATGCATAATCATAATGGCAACGGCCTGAACTTTTCTCATTAAGCGTGTTTAGCTGCTTGAAATGATTTAGGAAAAGTAAAACAAGTCAAGTTATAATGTTTTAATCTCAATTACGGCACTTGCCACCAATTCAGCGACATTACACAACCCGACTTAATTCGTCTGAGCCATTCGAAATTCGTCATCTTGCACTCTCACTCACTATGAACTATGTGTGTGCTGGTTGCCTTGGCATAACTTACAAATTCCATTTTAATTTATATTTGTGGCGCTGGGTATGCTTTGAATGTTGCCTTCGTTAGTAGAAGGCGCAGGAGAAGCAGCAGCTATCAATGTAAATTAGGAAAGGTGGCGCTGGATTCATTTCGATTCGTTACCTTGGGGCGTGGCAAATCTCCTTTCTCTGTTTTGGCTTATTCATCTCACTCAAAAGCTGCCTTTCAACATGACCGACATCTGCCGTTGCGAAATTACGAATAACCTTCAAACTTAATTGCAAAGCGCACGCTTGCTAAATCATTTCCCTTAACCAATGGACTCGCACTCGCCCCTTCCTGTGGCAGCCCAAACACCTGACTCTAACCCATCTCATAGAAGTAGTGCCTTTTTCTGTGTGCTTTTTTCACCATTTGCGGTTCACAGCTCATTGCATCTTAAGTTGGTTGCTTTAGCTTGTTTCAGCCGCCTAACAGAGAGAACCAAATACGTTGAGGGCCGAATTTGCTTAAGTTCAGATTTAGTTGAGTACTTAATTCCACTTGTGCCGTCAATGCCCATAAGTAGGCTACACAATTTGCGAAGGCTTTTTGAGTGGTTTCTGACCCGCTGGCTATATGAGTCATGCCATCAAAATAAAGAACACAACATGAAATTTAAATATATAAAATATGCAATGTGAGCCCCTCCAGTTGCAACGAATAACGCTAACTCCTGCCCCTAGTTACTGGCAGCTGTAATCGAAATATTTAATTAGTGCGAAAATGCTTTTGATTGCCAATTAGTGGCAAATTAACATTTCAGCAGGACTGCTTCTATTCATTGGGCTTTCCATGTTTTTAATTCTCTTTTCTTCCTTTTTTTTGCAGTTTCCGTAGAGAGTGCAAATTAAAGACACAATCAGAACAAATTAATCAAGTCCGATTGCTACTCTCACTGATTGATGTGGTCTCTTTTGCCTCTGTCCCTGTATTGCGGATACAAAGAGAAAAAGACGGCTACAGAGAGACAGATGGAGATAGAGAGAAAGATGACAAGCAATGGAGTGAGAGATAGAATGTGCTGGCCTGGTGGCAATTATTTTCATAAGCGCACAACTCGCTGTGTTTCGCATTGTAATTGTGTGTGTAAGTTAAAACAAACATTGCCCCATCATTTGCAATGGCAATGGCCCTTTTTGATGCCATTATTTATTATTATTAAAGGTTGGCCACTTGCGAATTTGAAAAATGTTTCATGGCTTGTTGGTAAATGAGTTTGGAAATTTTATGTACGGACGAATGAGTTTTCAATTTATATTTCGTGAAAAAAAGAATACAAACAAACAAAAAATTGTTCATGGCAAATTCAATTTTATTTATTTATGATCATACAACAGGCGATTTTTCCGTTTGAGCTTGGTTGCATAGGGTACATTGAAGCATTTCTGTTTTGGCAATGAACACCATTAAACATTAAACATTTAGTACTTTACTTCTTAGAATATGTATTGTTTTTCCTGGAATTCATGCGCATTGCTTTTGACCAAAACGGAATCAACATGCGTTTTAGAAAATGTTTTTGGGTTGACGAAATTATTGTCGCTTTCCACTAGACTAGAAATTTATTGCGTACTTTGCGGCTGTTGTTTTTATTAATGAGCAAAGCACCGGCAAGGATAGCAGCTGCTGAGCTGCACTCATGAACAACTAAGAGATTCCCTATTTGCACATTTAATAAATGAAAAGCGCTATGGGTTAATACAATCAAATATCTAAATGCATTTGAAGTTCATCAGAAACGGTTTCCCATTTAAACAATAAATCTACGTTGCAGCTGACTCTATATTTGTTATTGAATATGTATTTCAAGTTATGCATACTATCAAGTTTTGATTACAGGGTAGAAAAACAAACATGAATACAAACGAATTCAGTGCGAGGTGGCGCTGTTTCAGTTGCTGCAAGCCGCTCCATAAACTATTTTGCACATTGCGCAATATTTCAGTTAGTTTTATTCGCACTTTTCAAATTGTGCTGCACTCACAAACACACACACGGCACTGCCAAAAAAAATTGTAAATAAAAATAGCGCATAACTGGCAGTTAGAGTGTATGCAAAAGAGAGAGTGGGAGAGAAAAGTTGGTTGAAAGAATGGCAGACAGAGGCAGAGACAGAGATAGCCTGACGTTAGCATGTAACCAACAGCTTTAGATGCTTCCAACTGCTGTTGTTGTTATTGGTGTTGCTGGTGCCAGGGGCAGGGCTTGTCGCTTTAGTCGCCATTGTCCACATTTAAATAAATATTTTCACAATATTTGAATGTTTTCGCAATTCCATTTGTTAAAATGCAAGCGTCGCTGAAACGAACGAGGCACTTGTACAGCTTCCATGGCATTTTGTCTAATTTTTTTTCTTTTAATTGACAATTGCTGAAAAAACAATAGCAACAACAAAAACAACTGTTTATATTGAAACAATCGCCTGGCTGCTACCATATACTACTGACAGAGAGATGGATTGAGTGGAAAAGAGAGTCTGAGCATCGTGTGATCGTATGCTTTATTTCACTTACATCAACATTAATGCCCGAGACGGGAAAGACAAATGTGGGCGTTGCCTCGCGTGGCACGAAGCGATAGAACTCCTCCTGGCCGAAATACCAACGGACCGAATACAGTGCCGCCTGCAAAAGAAAAATAAAACAAGAACTTTAATGAAAAGTGTGAATGTATAACGGCCAACAGAGTCCAACGACAACGAGTACTGCGACAACGAGGACTACGTCAACGAAGACAAAGTGCTAGTAATTATAATAATTAAGCAAGCTTTCGCCGTTGACAATGTCGTTCCTCTTCCCAGCTCCCAATTCGAATTTTCACTCTCATTCAGCAAGGAAGTCTCACTTACCTTCTCCAAATCGTATTGACAAGACAATGTCGCTGCATTGCCCATGATGACTGCCTCCGGCACGAATATCTTGAGATCTTTCAGTCCATGAGCTACATACAGGTAGAGAGGTAGAGAGAGGGAAATAAATATTAAAGCTTGATGGAAAAGTAAGCTGCTTATGTGTCTTTCCCACAACAATTCCCATTTCCCATTCACACGCCCATGGCAAGCAGTTAAAGTGTTTAAGTGCAACACATTGGGAAGCCCATGGCTAGTGGCATGCATCGGACTTGTGGGGAATGCCGTAGGCAAGGCATGAACTCGATTATGCCATGGCTTAAAAACTTAATTACATACGTTCAGGGAACGAATGCAGCAGCATTGTGAATTGTGGGTGTCTGCAGCCGGATACATTGGCAAGTTAATTTATGAGAACGCGTCGACCAACACCAGTCTTAAATTTAATGCAATTCGATTTGCGATTTTACTTTGGCTTTAATTGAAAAATTCAGGATAATTAATTAATTAAAATCACATGTACGCCCACCACTAGGTATAATTGGTGGCATCTTAGATCTGCTGAAATATATACCGGAGTTTTTCTGATGTATAAAACACAAATAATATTTCGTTCGCAAAATTCACTCGACAGCCAATGGAGCCAGTGATATTTTCTATGGGTTAATGGATAAACAAACTGAGAGTGAATTAAATGCAATACTGGCCGCAAATCCAAATGTTATCCATTAATTAATTTACATTTAAATATATTCCACTCTTTTATTTTGATTGTCGACAGTTATGAATACTTTTTGCAAAATTCTTGTCACTTTTAAACGTCAAGCAATAACTGCACAACATCAGCATAATTAAACATTGTACGGATTTTGACTGTCTAGTCAATTGAATATATGAAATGTGGTTGTCCAAATTGTAATAATTTTAATCATGTTAATCAAATAGTTCAACTCAATTGCCGAGCGTTTATCAATTTAACGCAATATATTTTTATTTTACTGTTTAAACACTCTGTGTGTGAGTGGTTGAGTATATATGGACTTAAATGTATAATATTTACAGTCATTTGCAAATCAAATAATTCATTTGAACTATATTGGCGAACGCTGTTGCCATAATAAACTCAATTACAGCAGACAGACGGACAGACAGACAGACGATCAGACAAAAAGACGAACTCTGCTTGACCATTTTATGGGAATATATGTAATATAAGCTGCACTTATTTATGTAAGTATGCGCATACTTACCGCTCAGCAATAAATCGGAGATTATAATGCAGACCAGAGCCAACATATTAAAAGTAGCAGGGAAAGCGGGTAAGCCTCGCTTGGTTCGCTGCATGCCGGATCGTGTTGGTGCACGCGTTGTTCCTTCTCCTGCTCCTTCTTGACTGGCCATTCTTATAGTTGGCTTCTGCCGCTTAGCTGAACTGCAAAGAGTTATGAGAGGGACTCAAATGTGTGAGTAAAAGTTGCAAGTTGAAAGTTGCTTGTAATCATATTTGAATTGATGTGCTCGTGCTTATTGATAACTCCTACAAATTGAAAATGCATTCCACTTCTTTCATGCAACTGTATAACGCCCATCCTTTGGCAGTTAGACAACTTTGTAAGGCTTTTAAAGGACACGCGTGCGCAAGTTGAAGCAGCTTAAACGTGCTTAAAAACTTTCCCTTAAGACAAAAACCTTTAACTAACCAACTCACACACATACACACAAAAAGTCTCGGTGGCATTACCCATACGCAGAGTGTGCCACAAGCAGCTCTGTGTGCAGTCTGATTGACAACGAGAACCGAACAGTGCCTGACATTTGAAATAGATTGAAAGTGTGTGCATGTATATATGTATATATGGAGGCGTGTGTGTGTGTGTATGCGATTGGCAGTCAGATAGACAGACAATGGACATGCAGCCATATGGGCAGAGAGCTGACCACAAAGCATTAAAAACAATTGTCAGCTGCTAGTTGCAGTTGTAACTTTGCTGACGATTTGGCTGCTGCTGCTTATTCTTTTGCTACTGGTGTTTTCTTGTATCAATTAGACCGCAAGAAGAGACCGCAACAAGAACAACAGCAGTAGCTGAAAAAGTTCATGCAACAGTGTTATGCTGTCGTTGCCACAAAAACAAAAGCTAATGGTCAGAAGTTACAAATGTGGCAAATTGCCAAGCAACAAAATTTGATAATGATATCAAGGCATTAACTCAGGGCGAGCTAAGAACTTAAGCTCGCCCTCAGGAGCTTATAGTTATTTTGCTCTCTCTCGCAATTCGAGTTCTTTCGTTCTTTATGCAGCGCATAAGCATAAAGCTGTGGAGCGCAGCTTAAATAGCATTTCTAAAATACACAACTAGATTCACACAGACACACACACACAACAAATACATATTTAGTATTGCGCAAAGTGCCGTTAGACTGGCATTGGGTCGGGTCGTCGGACAAGTAACTGCCCAATCATTTTGTGCTTTTAAGCGAAAGACTCAAAGTTATTGTCCCTTTGCCGCAAAAAACAAAAGCAAATACAACAATATCAACAGCAACAACAACAAAGCCATTTAACCAACAAGCTGAGCTGCGAGCGAGAAACCTTTTCGACAACAATCATATCGTTTTGCAAATTGTCCAGTAGATTGGGATGCGTATCCTTCGATTTGTTTGCCGGCACGCCTGGCCTTCTCTCATGTGTGCATTTAAATTAAATTTAAATATTATTTTTGGCAAGTCGATTAAGGCCGGGTCATCATTTCGACTGTAACGTCTCTGTTTTATGGCTGTGAATGCTGCCTGGCTCACGGCATTCTCAAAGTCTATCTCCGTTATGATGTACCACTACGGATGCAAATTCCTTGTGGTTGCCATACTGGAGTTAGACGACCACACACCGCGAGCCCCGATGGCGATAGACTACAAGCTTGATGTCAGGCTGATTGTTATTTTTGGTTGGTGCTGTTATTGTTATTGTTCATGCCAAGGGAATTTCGGAAATTTCCATTACGCATAAATTTGATAACAACAAATTCTCAATTATTTCATTATGGTTTTAATTAAATTTTCGATCACAAACGTAAACTTTGCCTTTGCTCCTAGTTCAAATAACTCACAACTGAGTGGTGTGCCCTTCAGCACTTTATGGAACGTATAACTCGATGAAACATTTAATTGTTGCATTAATACTGCCACAGAACTGGTTTAAATAAAATTTAAAATTGATTTAATATTGGATTCAAAGAAACATATTTACCCTCAAAACATTATGTTTTATTAAATAAATACGAACATATCAGTGCTTCGCACTCAGATACACTCTAAATAAGTTCCAGGCTATAAATCATAAATTCGAATGAATTGAGTGCACACATAAGTACATTTATTTAGTTTAGACCAGTTGAACTCATTTGGATTGCAGACAATAATTAAACTAGAGAGTTCTAAGAGAGCAAGCCAGACAAATTTCTAAACCTTATTGAAAGGCAAACTTATGGGTGGGAATGAGACTAGGAACAAATGAAAAGTTGAGAAAGACATTGTCATCTTACTATAAAATAAAAACATATGCATTACGCAGGATTATATTAAAATCTCATTGAGATTGAAATCGATGAATCAATTGCAAAATGTAATGTGCACACTTTAGATCAAGTACTAATATACTTTGCGATTTCCTCATAGGGTGCTGGAAATGTCTTTTTTGTTTTTAATACTTACATTCTCAGAACTTTATTACACTTTTTACTCACTTTTATGGATACAGGACATAAAAAGCGTTCAGCACTTAACAATTCAATAAATCTTGATTTTATTCTATTTAAATATCATTTTGTCCGCCCACATTTAGGCTGAGCCCAACGGATTCTAATGGGCGAATGTAGGAAGTGTAATTAAAAAAAGTTACAGCTAAACTCAATAAAAACGACTCGACTTGTGTGTGTGTGTGTGTGTTTATGTGTGTGTGTGTGTACGTTCTTGTACGTGTATGTGTTTGAGAGCTTAACTTTTTTTTAAAGTGTAATAAAACAGTTGATTATGGCGTCATTAACGCAAGTCTAAGCACGCTAGCAAAATGCCTGAAAAAAATAATCAAATTAATTTTTTATGTGGAAAGTTTGCAGTTTACCAATAAGCTGCGAACTCATCATAAGCGCTGAGCCTTGGAAACTGCGTGGAGCTTAACGGGGCAGCAAATGTTGCTGAGGGTGTTGAGTTTTGTTAGAACGATTGGAGGGATATTCAAATTCGAAATTCAATTGAAAGTCAAATCAAAACAAAACAAACGAAATCCCGTGATTGACAACATTTCAACTGATAATGAGCACTTTGTTACAAGGCCAAAAAGGAAGAGAGATAGAAAGAGACACAGGGAGAGAGACGGAGATAGAAATAAAGAGAGAGTGAGAGAGAGAATGAGAAGCTTGATTTAAGTAAGATGAGAATGAGATAAAACAGAATGTGTCAGTAGAGCTATCAGTATAGGTAAAGATAGAACGTTGATTGTACCTACATAGGTGTAGGTGTAGTTGCAGGAGGACCCCATCCACAAAGTTGAATGAAATTATCTTCTCTTGTGGAATAGGATGACATGACGGAACGAAGAGATAGAGAAAACGGAGAGGGAGTAGAGGGAGGAGTGAGTGCCAAGTGAGAGTTGACAGTGGTTGAGTGGACGTTGCCTGGTGTCCAATGTCGGAAGCCGTGACATGCAACAATGCTGACCAAGCAAGAGAGATTGAGGCGGTGTCCTAGTTGCTGGCTATTGCCAACACTATTGATTTCAGTTCGAGTTTATTTAATGCCAATCTATGCCATTTGAGCCGGCCACGTAGCCAATTTGCAGATAGGTATCGCCAATATGAACAGAAATTGGTTTGCGTAGCTGCTCGAGGTGCGCTTTAAGTAATAACGCCAACTTGAGCCTGGGCTCAACTACACTTAAAGTGTTCACTCAGCCATGGTATGGAGGGGGATGTGATGGTGGAGGGGGATGGGGGTGAGTGAGCCATCATTCACTTATATGATTCATTTGTTAATCGCCAGCTGTCAGTTGGGCATACACATCTACACGAAAACAATAATCGCAAGTCAAGAGAAATCGTTGCCATATCATCATCATACATATGTATATGTATATACCTATGTACACTTGTACATTCATCTAGATTTATGTGTATGTAGAAGAAATAAATACTTATTTATATGAAGCGCTAAATGCGCATTTGATTGATGCGACACTCGCTCAAGGGCCTCTCATTAGGTTTAGTGCCACAGTGTCTGGCACACACACGATAACACACCGGCACACCGGCCCTACATTCGATACCGTGCTGCTCAGATCCTTAGACTATAGCGCTGCGCCTCTAATCAATCAATCAGTGTTTATGCATTGCCTCAGCACAATGGCAGCACATAAGACTGGAGGAACGAGCAAAGAAGACGACGCACAGTGAACAAAGCGAAAAAGGAAAGTCGAAACAATTGCTTCAGTTGCTGCGTCGTTTGACGAATGCCCCCAGGCAAATCTCAATCTAAATACAGAATCCGAAATACGGAATACTCTAATCGGTTCCACGCCACTGGTTAGCCAAGCATCAAGAGTGCTGTGCAAACAGCAGCCACCAAAAATTTCCTATTCTATGTTTTCTTTGTGCGGCGTTGGCGTTTTTATAACTTCCTTTACTGGGACACAGTTCATCACAGGTTCAAAAAAAAGGCAATAGCAATACCAGTGGCAAAGGCAGCAGCAAGATGCCTGATTGCCAATGAAGGATTAATGCGCCGGCAAGCAGCAGCATGCTGCTGGTGATTTGAGTCGCTTTGATTGCAGTAGCATGTCGCTGCAGGCGACAACCCTCAGGACATTGCGGAAGCCTTGTGTAATGACACAAAGGATTGCAAATTGCCAAGGCATTTCCTGCAAGGACATTGATTTTTATTTTCTTATATAAAAAATATTGTGTCAGTTCTGCGTGCACACCATAGCCACAAACGTTTGACTTGAGCTTCAGCCATTGCCACAATTGGATCCCAAGATTTGCCCTCAATTATGCATGGTAGGCTAATGAATTAAAACATAATTATTTGCCAACCATCGTAGCTGGAGGACAACTCATTTTCCGTTGCCTACTATTCAATATTTAATCAAGTACAAAGCGCGGTTTGCCATTTTGACTTGCAGCTGCCGCTGTTGATAGCTAATTGCTGCCCTGAGTGCATGCGGTCAGTGCGGCCGGAAGTAGCTCAAATCTGGTTTACCTTCGTGATTACTCATTGACCTGCTGCGCCATATACTAAATGAAGATTCTGAAAGCCTTAAGCTAACATTCGATGACTCTTTAACTTGTTTAAAATGTTATTTGGCAGTCAAAGCAATTAATGTATTTGCCAACATTTAAAAATAAATCATATCGAATTTCCAAAATATTATTCGGCCAG